TTGAGTCAGATAACACAGACAAACAATCTGCTGCTGTAAAGTTATGTTTATCCACTCAGTCATGGTCCAGAGCATCAGTCATGTCAATGTCTGGAGTATATTAACATTTTCATTTGTTTTATCACAGTAATAAGCCGCAGGTTCCATGTTCAGCCTCCTCTCATTTAAAACCTTCTCAGTATAGATGGAGAAATAATTATTATTGCATTCTTTTCATGATTATCAACCCACATGTAGGCAACTGACAAGGCCAATCAGAGCAACCATAACAAAACAAGAGAGATAATAATTTTTTAGTTATCGATAACAGTAACAAAGCAAACTTCTCATCCATTTTGTCATTCGGCTGTATCTCTACTCTTTCTAGCTTTACATTGTCTAGTTGCTGGTGTGTTACTGTACTGAGTGGTACTGTAAAGCAAGGCAGCGTTATGCAGGGCTGGAACCACTCATGAATCTCTGTAAAATCTCTGTATACTGGGTTCTGTCACCAATGTGTTTGTCTTTGTATATTTCGATAGTTTGATCTGTTTTTATTCTGTGAAGCACTTTGGTCAGCTCCGGTTGTTGTAAAGTGCTATATAAATAAACATTGATTGATTGATTAATTGATTGATGAATGTTCAAGAGTCCAAGAGTCAGAAGCACACGGTTTGAAGTTTCAGGAAGCCCTGCTGCGTCACTGTAAAAGTGGGTACAGACTATTTCATCTCAGTGACTAAAGGCTGATAATTTACTCCGATTTCCTGGCTTCATTCGCATGCAGCTGCTCATTCTCATTCTCACCCTTGCTCACCTCTAATCCCTCTATCTAATTAAGCGAGTCCATCTCCTTGCACTTACATCATTACTGTGAGGTGACCTTAATCCAGGCCGGCTGATGCTGAAACACTGGACAGAGGTTTGATAAGTCTCAGCGTTAGAGGGAAACTCAAATTTTCCTGAAGAGACTCAAATGCAAGGGTCTTGTGTGTTGCCTGATGTTGTACCTCTTCTCTTAACCACTTCCTGTTCCTGATGGCGCTGTGGGGGAACACTGGAAACAGGGACACACCCTCACACACCCTCACAAACACACACACACACACACAACTCCACCGTCCTTATGTTGGCAAACCGGGCAGAAACTCGGGCAGTAGCCGTGGCGCCCTCTAATTCCCTTATCTAGCAGACAAGGTGTTGGTTTTGTGCCTGGGAGAGGGTCTGGCAGTGGCGGCTGCCCTGATGGCTGCTTATCTGAGCTTTGTGCTCTTAACTCAGCGGCCAATTCCCACTCAGCTCTGTCCTCTGTCGTCTTCATTTTCACGAAACGACACCGTTTTAGAAGCGTCAAGAGTCCAGAATAATGAATCACCAAGTCTATTGTGTGTGTTTATGTCCAGCCATGCATTTTATATTTGAACATGAAAATTTAAAATGGATTACAATGAGTTGGATGAATCATTTATATGTGCTATCAAATATTACCGGATTAACTGCCTTTAGAAATAGCAAAAAAATTTAATCATTAAAATGTATCAGTTGTTTACTACAAAGATTTTTCAAACTAGTATCTCTTCAAAAGTACAATTGAATATACCCTGTAAGCCTCAGGTTAGCCTGTTCACTTTAAAGTTCATTAAAAGTACATTTGGGTGGTTGAAAGAAGATACAAGACCCAAAAATAGACAGCAGACAAGAGGCAGATCGAACTGGACTGAAGGTTCTATAAACAAAAGAAATCCAAATTGTGTTGAAATATGACACCTCTCAAGCAAGACAAAATTAGTAGTGCAGAAAAATAGCAGACAAAACATTAGAACATGAAGTAAAATAAGGAAAAAATGAATGAAAGAAACTTCCCTCAACCTAAAAAATCAAACCGAATTCAGTAAAACAAAGAAAAAACAAGACTAGGAGATCAAAAACAAACTTTCTCCGGTCGACATGAAAAAAGCAAACAGAAAACAAACAACAAAAAAAGTGTAGAGCCTTTTTTGAATAAAATGCTGGTATAAATGCCAGAGACAGAAATGAAGTCATGCACTCTGATGCAAAGTGAAGTAATGTTTTGGCTTTAGAAGATGAGCTCCAGTAGGTGCATCACTCTGCTTGTGGGCGTGTTCGAGAGTCTGCAGGTCTGTGTGAAACGGTGAAGTCATCCATTGTCTCTAGTCGAGCATTAACACGGCCTCCCGGCAGATGTTTCCAGCTGTGCCTCCGCCTCTTTCCACTTCTGCCCACCTTCTCCTTCTTCTCTCACCTAGTCAGATGTTTCTGTGGTATGTGTTCCATTTGATATTTTGAATTAATGCTAACTGGCTGTAAAATCTTTGATGGAAAGAGAAGGACAAAATCATTTTGGGGGCATTTTAACCATGTTTTTAGCAACTTTATGGACAGAATTGTTCAGTTTTAGCTAACTGATCAGAATGTATAGGTTGATATAGCTTTTTTTCTAGCTTTTCTCTGCCCAAATGTTGTCATACGTTGTTATATTCTACAACCCCGTGC